TTCATCATATAATACTTGTTATACAATTCCAAGTTCCCATCCACTTGAAACTTGGGCGATGAGAAACTCTCCCGATTTGGTAAACTCTGTACACTTCCATAAATAACCTAATTAAGAATCAAATCCATTTTGCTAATAATAGAAGTACACAAACATCAATTTTTCATATATGCCATTATAAGGATAAACAAATAAGATAAAACCAAAATTTATTTTATTCATAAAAGCAGCGGAAAACATGTCCTTACAATGAAAAATTCAACTGAAAAACTATGTAATAAAATACTCCTAACAAATCTATCATAACTTCCTAAGCTCAAAATCTGATCTTCGAATCCATACGATCGTAATCCATTTCTTCGTGATCAGACTCATCTTGCTCTTCCATCAAACTTCCTCTCTTTTCTTTAATTATGCAAAACATGCAAGTGTAATCTTATCACATTATGTATAAAGAATAGGAATTTAATGGAGTTAGATAGTGGATTTTATACCTGAAGTAGAGCCGTACTTCTTGACTCTCTCATCTCTTAGACTCTTCAGGTCCTTTGGGCAGCTTCGTATCCTTTACCCCTTCTCTTGGCAGCAGAAACAGGTGGGTTCTTCTAGAATGTCCACGGAAGCATGGTTGGTTGAATTACCAGACAAATATGCTCCATTACTTCGCCAAATCATTTCTGATTCAGCAGCAATAAGCATGCAAGTTAAGTCAATGAGGGTCGCGTCAAGATCCATCATATAATACTCTCTTTTGAACTTATCATATGATTTAGGGAGTGACTGAAGAACCCAGTCCACAGCCAACTTATTGCGAAAAAACGCACCCAACATAATCAACCTATCAATGTGTGATTTCATCCCTAGGACATGAGCACACACGGGTTTACGATCTTCATGTTCCATAGCGAATAGGGCTTCGGTGATCTTGAACCTTTCAAATCTTCGTTCTTGTGGGTCAGGGAGAAAAACGGGAGGAGGAGGAGGGAGTGAAATTAAGCTAGTCCACATTGATCCTTCACTTTGGAACAATCTTTTACTTTTAATAGGAACACCTTTTCCTTGGGATTCGGGAAGACCACAGTTAGAGTCAAACATCTACAAAACGGGAGAAATTTCAAGTTTGTTGATTGGATCCCTAATGAAACACCCAAATGAGACATTAAGGCTAGGATCCAACAACATTATTTACACATTAGAAGAGGGAATCCGTAATTCAACATGCAAATAATGCGGAAGTAAGTGAATGACGATTCACTAATTCTTCACCATGAAAAAACATAAAGGCTTAAGTTTTAAATGTATTAATAATTCCTAGATTTCCCTTGAGATTCAATGAAATTTTCAATGGCATGTTTAAATCTCGATATGCCCCTCTCGTTTGTGACTGGGATGCCGAGGATCACAAAGTAGGTGTGAATAACCATGCAAATCTACATGGTGATCTCATTGTTACAGTCACCTATTCGATGTTCCGGTAAACCACACACACTCCATCGAATTATGACAAACAATGAGTCACCCTTTACCACCTTTGCTTAGAACCAATTAGTGTGCCGGTTAACCACACACACTCCACTAACTTCTTGGAAAGGGTGCAAAGTCCAATTTCATGGGATTGCATCAATTTTACTTTTGCCTAAAGCAACTAGGATTGGGAATTTGCAAAAGCATTTAGTTACTTTACATAGATTCATTATACTTATTAATGAAGAGAAGATTGTCATATCCTACCCTTTCGGCTAACGACCTTCCATCAATCAAGGAAGCGGTGGGTAAGAGTGGATAACCCATTAAACGGCCATTTTATAGGCCATAACCTTATACCCCCCTTATAGATCGGTTTCGTGAATGAGGTCTACTAACGGTAAGACTAGCATTTAAGTTATACATATATAATATTAGACTTTTAATGTTATACATAGTATAAGGGTGTATTTTACACTTTTAAAATACTAGGTGGCTTAAATTTTATAAATTACACTTTTAATAAAATATAAACCATATCATTATGGGTTTATTAACTCTCTTTTAATTATACACTTAATTAATTTAATAAAAACCTAAGGGTGCAATTTGAACTTTTCAAAATTAGGGTTTTAGAATTTAACATTTTTCAAAATTAAACGTTTAATTAAGCAATTTAAATTCCAGAACTTGAGGACAAGTTTTTGAAACTTTTCAAAACAATTAGGTTTTAATTTCACTTTACAATTTTCGAATTTAAGACTATTTAAATTAAAATTTTAAATATTAAAACTGTTGATTTAATAATTATCTTGAATTAAACTATTAATTTAAATTATTAAATCATAAGGGATTATCTAAAACATAAAGGATAATTACAAATTAAACAATTAATTTATCCTAATCCTTTTAATCCCTCTAAATTTCGAAAATCATGGGATAGGATAATTCAAAATCTTTAAATACCATATATAACCATTAAAGGATAATTACAAGATATGAGATAATCCAAATCCCTAAAATTTAGGATCTTATCTTGGGGAGGAGGCTGATTTCGAAAATCATAGGGTTTTGCAAACCCTAGATTTCGAAATCTTGAGGCTTAAGGAAAGGATTTGAAAACCCTTTCAAATCTTCGCAAATTGGGGTATAGAAACCATAATCTCGAAATTTCTAGCCTCCTAGGGTTTATTGGCTATAAACCTTAATATGTCAAGTTCATGCAATTGTATAATACTAATTGAAAACAAGTTATACAAAGGCTCCGATACCACTGATGGGTTTTATACAAACAATCCTATGTGTGCATGCAACCCTAGAATTGGATCTATGTTTTCACTATTAGATACACAACATTATGAACACATAAAGAAAGCCTAATATGCCCTAGTATTTTCGAAATACACATAGAAGGTTAGATCACATACCTCTTGTTGTTATATTGCAATAACAACTCAAATCTTCAAACCCTAAGTCTTTAAAGCAAGTACCACAAGTGTAGTACCTCTAATGGCTCACAAACACCAGGAGCAAATAGAGAGACAAGAGAGAGGGGGAAGAGGTATGAAATTTGTCCCTAGGAACCCTAGACAAGGCATGGACGAATTCTTATGGCCTTAGGGGTCTTTATATAGGTGTAGAGATTAGGATTTCAGTCCTTTACCTTATCTAGTTGCTTGCCCACCAAGCAATCATAAGATAAGCCTTGAAATCCCTTATCCTTTATCCTTTGGATGATTTCAAGGATATCTTATCCCTTGAATTCATCCAACCCATATCAAGGATAATCATTACCCTATTTTGTAACTATCACATAATTATAATCCAGCCCCTCTAGTTTAATTAATTACATTTGATTACAAAATTAATTCTTAATTAATTATTGACCAATATTAATTAAAAAAAATGATTTCTCCTTTAATATATTATTCTTATAACATACTAATAAATCATAATAACCTCTTTCTCTATTATTTCTCCAGTCAAGTTGCTTTGGTGAAGGCAACCCAAAAGGATCATGCACAATCGGGTTAAGTACTTACCAAATATGGTTATGGGCTTAGACACTAATCCAAGAACTATGGCATTAGTGCAAAAGTTTGGAAATCCTGACATTTTTCTTACATTTACTTGCAACCTTAATTGGCCAGAAATTAGGCAACACATGATGATTCAAGAGGAAACACAAAATAGGGCCGATTTAATTGTAAGAGTTTTCCATGCTAAACTTGAACATATTAAAAAAGAAATTTTGAAAAAAAATATTTGGAGAAGTTGTCGCATACACTTATGTTGTAGAGTTCCAAAAGAGTGGTCTTCCACATGCACATATTTTACTTATACTTTCACCTCATTATAAAATGCATAATGTTGAAGAATATGATGAGATAGTTTCGACTGAAATACCCAATGAGAATTCAAATCCTCATCTATTTAGGATGATGATGAAGCACATGATTCACGGTCCTCGTGGTGATCTTAACCCACTTAATGTTTGTATGAAAAAAAGGCTTTTGCAAGAATTTATATCCAAAAGCTTTTTGTTATGAAACACCCCAAACTAACGATGCATATCCTACTTATAGAAGACGCAATGATGGAGTAAAGGTTATGGTTAGAGTTGCTGAACTTGATAATAATTGAGTTCTTCCATACAATCCATATTTGCTATGTAAGTTTGATTGCCATGTTAATTTAGAAATATGCTCAACAATAAAGGCTGTGATATACATATATAAATATATATGAAAAGGGTGTAACAAAATAAGTTTCGAGTTTCATTAAATGATCATCATAATACCGTAAATGAAATTGATCAATTTCAAGCAGGTAGGTGAATTTCACCCCCAGAAGCAGCTTCAAGAATTTTTAGATTTTCATTAGGCGAAATCCAACCAGCAGTTATTCATTTGCCTCTTCATTTAGAAGATTATCAACCAATAACCTTTAAAAAGAAAGAACACTTAACTGATATTGTAGCCAATTCATCAAAAAGAAACACTATGCTAACTGAGTTTTTTATTCAAAACAAAACAGACAGATATGCACAACATCGTAATTTGACATATCTAGAATTCCCAAACCATTTTGTATGGAAGTCAAGAAAGAAGATTTGGTCACCTAGACAGACAGAAAAATCAATAAGACGCATAGTGGTTGCTCATCCAAGTGAAGGCGAGAGATATTATCTACAGATACTTTTATCCAAAATTAGATGTCCAAAGTCGTATGATTTCTTAAGGTTTGTAAAGGATTTAAAGTTGCTACCTTTCGGGAATCATCATTACTACACGGATATCTAATTGATTATAATAGCCAAAAATTATGCCTATAAGAGGCTTCCGTTTACCACATGCCATATGAATTGCGACGACTTTTTACAAGCTTACTCTTGTACACAATGCCATCCGATCCTCATCAGTTTGTGACTATCTTTTGAATATGCCATGTTGGAAGATTTTTTACACTACAACAATCATTCAAAAAAAGAAGCAAAACGAAGCGCATTTAAGCAAATTAACACCTGTATACAATCAATGGGAAGAAAAATTCATGAATTTAATATATTGCCAATAGATCTATCATATGCTGTTTTAGATGATGAAACAAAGGAAATAACAGCAGAAAAGAGTATTATTATATCAGTAGATGATCTAAAGTCAATACATAATCTTAACAAAAAACAAAAAGTTGCATTCCATACAATAATTGGAAAAGTAAAAGCCAATACATATGTTAATTTGGATGATGAAACAAAGGAAATAACAACAGGAAAGAGTATTATTGTATCAGAAGATGATCTAAAGTCAATACATAATCTTAACAAAAAACAAAAAGTTGCATTTGATACAATAATTGGAAAAGTAAAAGCCAATAAAAGTGGAGAGTTTTTCATTGATGGTCCAGGTGGTACAAGGAAAACTTTCATATATAGAGCATTGCTAGCAATGATTAGATCAGAAGGACATATTGCATTAGCTACCGCAACATCAGACATTGCTGCATCATTACTTCCGGGGGGGGGGGGTAGAACAACTTATTCAAGATTTAAAATTCCATTAGATTTAACCGATGGGTCAAATTGTAGGATAAGTAAGCAATGTTCTTTAGGTATATTAATTAAGACCTGTAAACTGATTATTTGGGATGAAGCTCCCATGGCTAACCGATCGGAAGTAGAAGCTCTTAACGACTTGCTACAAGATCTTATGGATTCAAGAGAAATTTTTGGTGGGAAAGTAGTTGTACTTGTGGTGATTTTATACAAACATTGCCAGTTGTTCAAAATGGTAACAATCAAATACAATCGCTGCCTGTTTGACTAACTCTCCTCTATGGCAGTCACTGTGTCTACTACAACTAGATGAAAACATGAGGTCCTTACAAGATCCATGTGACAACCCGAAATTTTTTTCCTTGAAAAGACAAGCCAATCAATCTTAATCCAGACTCGCTTCTGCTATCATTTAGCATTGTTTAGAGTCTGTTTGAGTGTTTTAAGCCTAGTACATTCAAGGAATGAGTGTTAGGAAGTACTTGTTAGATTCACTGTACAACATTCAAGCCCTAAACTCCATCATGTGGAGTTTACGGCCGTAAACATGGAGTTTACGGCCGTAAACTCAACCAGGGCCGAAAACTCTCAACTATATATAAGGGCACTTCATTTTCCTCATTCTTTCCTTCCTTGGCCGAAATCTCTTCTAACTCTCTCAAGTACGTATCATCAAGTTCTTCATCCAAATCCTCCAAAAACGTAAGTGTTCTTCACTCTAGTTGTTGTTATCCTTCTTAATCATGCATTATCCTCATGATTCATCCATGAAAAAATCTTTTGGCTAGATCTTTAACTTTCACCAAGAACACACACTTGTTCTTGGTGGCCAAAAACTCATCAAAGGCACTTAAAATTGTGAGTATTCCATATTCCATCTAGTTGTACATGTTAAACACTAGACCATAGCCTTGAATCATCAACAAACTCAACATCAATGAGAGTTTACGGCCAGGAGTTTACACCATGGTCGTAAACCCTTGTAGTTGTCATGATTTGAGCCTTAAACACTTCTAGACCCTTGCTAACCCTTGGAACACTTGAACCATTGAAACTCCTTGCCATTATGACCCAAAATTAGACCATTTTGTGAGTTTACGGCCCAACACTTTAAGGTGTAGCCGTAAACACCTCAACCCCTTCCATTAGGTTGGTTTTTCTTATCCTTATGTAGAGCAATGGTCCCTCAAGTTTCCCTAGCAATCAAACACCCTCTTATGCACATTTTACCATGATTTTACACCATGGCCGTAAACTCATGGCCGTAAACACCTAATAGTGGCCTTAAACACCCCTTAAATGAATCACATGTGATTCTAACACTTGGTCCAAGTGTTTCCTAGGCACAAAGGATGTTTCCTTGCATGTTAGTTGCTTATAAACACTATATTCATGCAAATACTTGCCATATACGTCATTTAGGACTTGTTTGTATTTTGGGACTTCATCCGTGGAACTACTCATCCTTACGCTCATATTTGTTTGAATCACCCACATAAGGTGAGTTCATACCCCATAATGAATCTTTTAAACTGTTTTAAATGCTTTTACGGGGGGAATACAAGTTAAACACAATGATAATTGTGCAAATGTTTGTTATAAACATCTTTCAAAATATTGCTTATGTCTTTTATAAGTAATCAATACATTTCAAAAACTCTTTTATAGTTATGTTACTTTATAGTTTAACAAAACTCCATTTTTAAAGTACCAACATAACTTAGTAGATAAATGAGTCTTTTCAACAACAGTTCAAGTAAAATACTAGTAAACTAAAAAGGGTATAGTTCAGGGGTTCAGTTCATAGATACTATAACAAAAAGAACATATTAAGATACTATAACAGAACAAACATACTACGATGCTATAGCATGGAACAACTATAGGATCTAATTATACCAATGAATCACTAACTCATTGTTATAAACAAAAAGGTGATAGCTAAATTGGGCATACATGATCACATAACTTTAATGTGAATTACACGGCCTAGCAACTGGTTTGCTGAAGTCGTGTTTGGTTCCCAAAATCTCTTGACATGGGGACCGTATAGTATGGGTACTAGCCTTTACATTATGACCTTAATAAAACAAACATGTTTTAAAGGAAATCAATACGTCAGGATGTCAATTTAAAAGACAACTGAGCACTTACATTTTCCCATTACTTTCATAAAGTGCTAGTTCCACCTGAAAGTTAATGCAAGCTATTTTCAAGTCAAGATAGTTATAAACTAGGGAAAACTTACATTTTGCAAACAACAATCAGAACAGTCGAGTCTAGTACATTTAATAGAAAGGGACCATAATGCTAACCTTATGATTCCTTAATGTATACATTAAGGGATATATACTAATAGGATCCGAAAGGAAATAGGATGTGTGCTTTCCGCTAATCCATTTCCTGTTCCTTGTTTGTTTGTGGGTTTAGAGTGGATTCACTCAACCTATTATCCATTCGATCTTAGTTATATATATGCTCCGTATACATTAGGTCATCATAAGGGGTACCAGGTACGGGTCATGTCATAGGACACTAATTCAATGCACATTTTTATAGTACAAAACAAACTTTTCAAATCAAAACTTTTGGTATAAAAAACTAGAAACTTATCAGTAAAGGGTTTAATCCATTTTATTAAACCAACATAAATTAAAGGAGCTTAGGTGATTAATTCTATAATACCTTAGTTTATACATCAGGTTTATATATAATTTATACCCGATAGATATTTAGATGTGTGTCATCCGCCTCATTTCCTGTTCCTTGTTTGGTTGTGGGCTTAGGGAAGATTCACACAATTAACTATCTATTCGCTATTAGATTATATATAGCTAGTATAAACTAAGTGATTATAGAAGGAACCACTGTGGTTACTATTTTATTATAAGAAATAAGGGTTTTCTTAAAGAATCTTTTCATCAAATATAAAGGAACTATTCCAGTTAACTCCGTGAGTACCAAGTGAATACGCTAGGGTTATATACAAGGATCTAACAACCAATGGGATGTGTGCCATCCGCCTCATTTCCCGTTCCTTGTTTGGTTGTGGGCTTAGGGCAGATACACTCAATCGATTGTTTGTTTACTCCGAGTTTTATATAACTTGTATCCATTTAGTACCCGTAGATAGGATTGTAGAGTCATTTTTACTTATCTTTCATCAAAGCAGGAAATATAGGATTTTCTGGAGGAACATGTGAACTTTTCTAAACATAAGTTACAATTTACTAAAGCTTTCTACAACATACTTACATCACTAAAATCTTATGAACTCACCAGCTTAATTGCTAATCAACTCTTTCAAAATAACTTGTATTCTCAGGGAACTAGTAGATAGGTACTCGTGCTGGGAATTCAGAAGATGGAGCAGTATAGCTTCATGTCTTATTTTGTTATTTACATATGTATTCTATGTTTTGTGAATACACACATTGTAAACACTTTCTTTCTAATGAAATGGTTGTTTATTACTTTGATTACTATGATGCATGTCTTGTGATACTAAACATGACATCCTCCGCCCCCGAACGTTTCCGCTATTCCGGTTTTGGGTTGTGACAATCAATAGTTTACTGAATTTCTCGTAAGATTAGGTGATGGCAAAGAGCTCTCAGATAATAATGATTTTATTAGTCTTCCTAAGCAAATACTCATAGAAAATAATGTTGACTAGTTAAAAGTTCTTATAGATTATGTTTACCCTAATATATTTATGAGTTCAACCAATGTCCATGCATCATTGAACTGGGCCATACTGACAACAAAAAACATTTTTGTACATGAGATCAATGATATCTTAATACAAAAATTTCCAGGTGAAGAAATTGAGTATATTAGTCTTGATGAGACACTTGATCCAAATGACCAAGCTCATTATGAAGATCTTCTTCACTCTTTAACACCGAATGGTATGCCACCACATCGACTTATTTTGAAGCAAAATGCTCCTATAATATTATTAAGAAACATGAACCCTACAGAAGGATTATGTAATGATACGAGACTTTTTTGCAAAGATTTCGGTAGGAATGTTATTCAAGCAGAAATAGCAATTGAAGATTTTGCTGGGAAACAAGTATTTATTCATAGATTACCTTTACAACCAGCTACAGGTGAAGAATACACAGTTCCATTCAAAAGAATACAATTTCCAATAAAACTATGCTTCGCAATGACAATTAACAAAGCACAAGGCCAAACACTAGACTATGTAGGTATATATCTGAAAGAACATGTTTTTTCTCATGGAAAATTGTATATTGCCCTATCACGAGCTAGAACAATAGAAAATGTTAAAGTTGTTATTAGTGAATTAGAACATTATACTGACACACATAAGACTAAAAACATTAGATATCGGGAAGTCTTACAATATGTGAACCAAATGTATGTTCCTACATCCAAAATAAATGTTCAATTTTTTGTAACGACTTACTGGTTTTAACATATAATACGTTATTAATGAAAATTTAAGTTATATTTAACATGTCAAATATCACGCCAAAGATTCAAGAAGTTACAAAATAACAAGAAGGTACACATCCAATGTTTACAACACTCATCATGATAACAGTTCTATTGAAAGCCAATTTGATGTCCCTTGTTGGAAATCCATGAAGCATATTGAAGGTTTGTTATTATTTTATAAGTGTTATTGTAGATTGTTAATGTTACATCAGTGTACTAATTTTGCAACTTTTGTACATATTCATGGATCCTGTATTGTAAAAATTGGATGCGCCATGCATTTACCAAGTGAAGTGTTAAACAAAATCCACTCACAGGAGGTCACGAGCACACAGGTATGAACCACATAAGGTCTACAATTAGTCAATCAAAACAATAAATAAGATCATATATGTATGTGTACTTCAATACCAAAAGTATTAGCACTTAAATATAATACATTTCATCCAAACTCAGGTACCTTGGAATATTTATTACTAATCGCAGAAATCTTGACACTCCATGAGGCCTGTCCTGCCAATTTCACCTTCACAATGTACCATTAATTCTGAAGTTAAAAAAGTTTTTTCAATTGATTTTTACTGATTGATATGTTTATTTATAGGGATTTAAAATGGTTGAACATGGTGTTGCTATTGATGTTGTATTAGAATTGCCAACAAAGCTAAGACATTTAATGATTACAGTGCAAGAGAAAAAGAAATTTAAATCGTTTTTTCTTACACATATTTAGTTTTTATTGGTGGAAAAAAAATGTCAATAGGGTTAGAAATAAAATCATAATTGAATTCACTATATATA